AACATGAGCCGACAACAAAGGAAACATTTCAATCAGATTCAGAAAACATCCACCAAATACATGCCCTTAACGTATATTTATTTGTACACCACAACACTTAAGATCATCAAGCACCAAGCATTTCCATCAACTACAAACGAACCAACCACTCCACATCAGTCTAGCCTCCAAAGTAACACAAAGGTCAAGAGGTGTTAGCTTGTCCAAGTGTGGCCCAATACTAACAAACAATCTGGACTTAATTCCATCTGATGCAGCTATTCCAATCAAAGCAAAGTGAGCTCCAAGTAACAAGGGAAGACACAGCAGCAGGATGAACTACTGGGCAGTGCGTGCTGAGAATCAGTAAGGTCTGTATTCCAGACGTTTGTAACCAAACCCAAGAAACAATTAGACAACTATTATTCTTCCCGGGGATATAAATTACTGAGCAAATTTTGGCGTCTATTTGTAACACATGTGGTTGGATAGATTAACAATCACTGGTAGTGTGGCTTGGCATAGCTGATTATCTATAGTAATTTCTCTACCGAGATACCTTTAATGGGCAGTATTTCATTGGCTTCCAATCGTATTTTACGGAAATGATGTCCACTTTGACCGATTCATTTTCCTCCTGAGTGGCTTGTGATGATGGTGTTTAACACAGCCATGGCAGTATGTCATTCCTCTACATCAGTTTGTTCACTGGGGATGGGCTATCTTATAGGATCTTACAAAAGACTTGCGTGAACGTTATGAGGCAAGTTTGGGTTGATGAAAGTTCTGAAATTTACTTAAGATGAAGTACAGCCAACCATTGAAAATGGTAGTCTGATTAAGTTACCTCAAGTCGATCTGATGCCCCGATTCTGAACACACTGGGTAGTTACCTTATAGTAACTTTTCAAATTGAAAAATAACCAAGTAAATATGAACGTAATGCCCTCACCACGAGACCATATTCCTTTCATTTTTTATCAACCTTTTTTGCACAACTTAAATGAACTTTACAGGGTAATACCAGATAGTTGTTAAAATAGAGCTATTAACAACATCAACAACACAAAGAAATTAACTGATGTCACTACATATTTACTTTGTTTACATTTTTCCCCAACTTGAAGCGAGGCCGTGGGTTATTTTATCTGAAATTGTTGTTTGAAATGTTGAGAAAATGATAGGTGAAGATCTGACTCCAGTAATGATACTTTAAATCACACAACTGCAGAGCCATGCTTGTTTGTGGAGTTGACAGCAACGTTGCAAGAAATCACAAATAGTCACAGCAAAGTGAAAAATAATCCTAAACCCCAAATCCTGGCCAATCATTCCCCAATCAAGCCATGCTTCATCCATTGTGCCTACTCCACTGGTCCTGGATTTCTACTCCAACTGCTCCTCTGTCACGGGTCAGCTTCCCTGGCCCTGCTACTGGCCATCCCCAGCACTTGACAGCATTCATCATTAGTTTGTTAAATCACCCTCATGCACACAGTTTCATGCCTAGATTAGAACCACGGAAACACTAGTTAGTGCGAATTGAACACTGACAGACACTGTCAGGGCAGTACGTGTCTAAGAAATCTAGAACACTTAACACTGATTAAAAACAAAATTAATATGATTTGGTTAGTGCCACTAAATGGTGTTTAGGGTCTAGTTACCGGTATATAGAATGTAAGGATATTTCCATTAGTATTTGTATGACCCTGACATAGACATACATCTGGGTTTGCTTCATAAAGCTTTTATGATTGCAGAAAATATATTTTTAAACTTCATCTTAATACTCATAAGGCAAAAAAGATTTTATTCAGTGCATGGAAAAAACTACTATTTAATGATACAGGAAGAAAATATTGATGGTAGGCAATAGTGGGAAATCGGAAGATCTCAGCCATCACATCTCACAGCTCTTGGAGCCGCCATATAGCTGGAATATTGCTGAGTGCGGCATAAAACTAAACTCACTCACAGCTCTTGGACACATAAGGTGACTTACACAACGGACATTAATTCTACCAATCTGATCAACTTACATCAAACCTGTCTACAAAAGCAATAATATGGCTCTAAGTGACCTACAATCAAATAGAAAAGCCATAACACAATCCATTATCATTGCCTCCATCCTGATTTAATCGACCAATGAAATGTATAAAAGAGACCGCAATGGATGCCGATGTATACCGCCTCAGCTAATATACCCCACAACACCCTAAATACGAAAAATGAATCTTTTCACCAATCAAGTCCAAGCCAAAAACCAAGGAGCACTTAGGTTGGAATAAAGTTAATAAAAGTCATTCCCGTCCAGACGTAAGACTGTGCGTCAAGATGGGGCACATGGCCTGATGTCTGGCGCGCCAAGTCTGTGAGTGCCATTGAGGGGTCCTGAGCAACTATGGTAAACAATTAGATCCTTCATGTCTAACAGGGGCTCCACATTACCACTATCATATAATGGCTTGGTTTTCCACAGTGCACTGATTGCAACCAAATTTAGATATAGGTGTGTTGAATCAACAGACTGTAATTATCTGGGGATTCCATTCTTAGGTTTGGGAGAAGGGGAAATTGATTGATTCAGAGAGCATGAAAAAGGTCGGAGTTTTCCCATCTCTTGATCTGCAGCAAGGGATACACTGAAGAACTTCAGTTGTTACCTTCAAACCTCTCATTATCTGACAGAAATAGCATGCCTAGTATGTCCATCGTGCTCCGTTTTGTGCTATTGTAATTATATTTTTCTGTGCAAAAAAGGGTAATTTTGAAGATTCAGTTTGACTGACAGGTTGTCAGGCACAGGTATATTTTATAACTAAGTGTATATTATTTCATATGTCAAGGTCTCACAGGGGAGGTAATTAGCATGTGACAAAGACATTACTGTCCTTCCAAATGTGACAAACAAGCAATGGCAAAGACACGCTTTTTAAACAGCAAATACCGTTTCCATGTAGCTTATTGGTTTTCTGTGGAGGTTCTGATTGAAAGTGCTGAATAAACAGCTTCTCATGGAGGACATTGTCAGGGGGATATTCATGAAATAATTGGCACTGGAAACAAAGCTTTTGAAAAAGGAAATTGTTAATATTCAAATGTTAATTTGGGCATGTTTTCTTGGTACAATACTGTGTATATTGTCTGCTTTCTGACAAAGATGGGAAAATAAACAGAGGTTCACAGAAAGAGAACGTGCTCAGTTCTGTGTACCATTGTTTGGCTAAAGTAAACTGATGAATCTGATGTGATTGTATCTGACGAGAGAAGAGATTCAAATGAATATGAAACTCTCATTTATACAGCAATGATACTTTTCCATTTCATTTTTCTCTTTGATATATTTACTTATGAACAGTTCAAAAAATGTCTTCTAAGTGAAAAAAGGGGTTTTGGGTCATGGAATGACAGTTTTGTGATTTGAAATATTTATGCAAGGTAACTTAAATAACAACTGGAATTGTCAGCTAAATGATAAAATACCATGTGTCATATGTGAAAACTAGCTTAAGTTTATGGTGAAGATTTTCAATAAGTCAATAATTGTCTTGAGACTGTGAAGACTGATATGTTTTCCATTGAGTAACCTGCATGACTTGAGACTGAGAAGACAAACTTTGTTGATCATTGAGTAACATGCATGTCTTGAGACTGAGAAGACAAACTTTGTTGATCATTGAGTAACCTGCATGTCTTGAGACTGAGAAGACAAACTTTGTTGATCATTGAGTAACCTACATGTCTTGAGACTGAGAAGACAAACTTTGTTGATCATTGAGTAACCTGCATGTCTTGAGACTGAGAAGACAAACTTTGTTGATCATTGAGTAACCTGCATGTCTTGAGACTGAGAAGACAAACTTTGTTGATCATTGAGCAACCTGCATGTCTTGAGACTGAGAAGACAAACTTTGTTGATCATTGAGCAACCTGCATGTCTTGACTTTGAGAAATCATGTGCTGGAATATCAAGAGAAAGACAGGAGAAAAAGAGACTATATGCTTTGAAATACTTTTTCCATTGTTGTGAATATACAACCTTGAATATTCAATGTGTAATTACATGTGTAGAACTGCAGCAAACAAATGACTTGTGTCATGCTCTTCATTACCATTCACAAACTGTGCATAACATCAGAAATATGTGTGTTTCCGATCTCTTCTTAAGGAAATGGTCCTGTTCAGCTGGACTATGAAGTACATACTGCCTCCATTTAAATGCTCAAGAAGGGGTGTGTGGAAAGCCTCACCTTAATAGCAGCAAGGTTCAGATCATTTTTCAAGGCTTCAGCAGGGATACTTTCAACTCAAGACAATCAATATCCAACACAAATCTGTGTTATTATTTCTTGGTCAAACTGGAACCAATGACTGATAGTGTGTGCAGATTGTTGAAATGTACATAACAGAAAGACTTTGTTCATCCTATCTGGAAATTTTCGATCAATTCCCCACTTCAAAATTATTTCAATTTATCTATGTGAATATCTTCATATGCCTGTAAGTAATACTAATGTCTATTTAATAAAGGGCACTGTCACATATTAGACATGTACCATTCATGTATAAGACAAAATAATATGGATGTCAACTTCTTCTTTATTGTATACAGTGTTTGGTGAATGACGAAGGGGCAAGGAAATGCCTAGACATGCTGTGCATACACTAAAGAAGAAGTTGACATCCATAATATTTTGTCGTATACTTGAATACCAACTTTTATATGCCTCTCAAGAACCTCCTGTACCATTCAGTTAATTGTATAAGGCTACAGTGCATAGAAAGATGGACATTGAAATCAAATACCGGTACAAAAAGCTTGCAATGTACAATACAAATTGTGAGTTGAACACAACACAGATGAATTCAAAGTCAAACACAACAAGAAAGTCAAGGACAACATGAAGGTCAAGGACAACATGAAGGTCAAGGACAACATGTAGGTCAAGGACAACATAGAGGTTAAATACAACAGTAGTTAAAACATCAGGTCAAGGACAACAGAGTGGACTTACCGAGGCCTAAGAGAGAGCAAGATAAATAGGAAGGGGAACAGATGAAATTAATACATAGATGTAAGGGAAGTACATGACTGAAAATTTAAACATATCATTTATTAACAGAAGTATTACAACTGTACTCCATTGCCCTCCTTCACCATACAAACATATTCCACTGAATCCGTCACTTGAGTGCAAAATATAGTGCACACACAATACCACAGCTAACCACAGCCATGACCCATGAACTAATGGGATTTGAGAACAGTATTAGAGCAGAGTGGTGAGGCTGCAACAGGTTCAAGGCCAACATGGAGTTGGTATCAAATATAGTAAAAACATGGGGCCAAGATACATCAAAGACTTGTGAAACTTTGACAATAGCAAACTGGAAAAATGTGGATAACCCTTTTTCCAAAAACTATCTGGTCTGTCCGTCTTCATTATTCATGGTTTTGACCATGAGCAAGTAAACCATTTATCAACAGTTTGAGTTCAGATACTAGTTGACCATCCTGGGGATGTAAAGCAGGTCTACCCAGTTGGTCATGTACAAAGACAAAGGTGACAAATGAAGATTCATTCAGCTGCCTTTCAGCACAAAGGTATCATAAAGTCTGCACATGTGAAACATTTCAGGGCCTGTACACTAACAAAAAATGGATGGCTTCTATCACCACCAACAGCTGTAAGAGGGATAATAATTGTACCACACCTACTGCATTGGACTGATTTGATTTTGAAATAATCTTTCCAGCAGCAACTTAACATTGAACATCTAACTTTGAACTTTAGAAAGTTTCACATTATTTTGTTTCTAAACAGTTAAGATCCATCATTGAAGTGTGGATGTAATCCAATCCAATCACGGAAGACCTCTTCTTAGAAGTACTTTTGAATCTGTCAGTCTCCAGGGGGCACTGCTGTCTGCTGACAGTAGCAGCTCTGATCTGTAACATTCCACCAGCATCTGTCTCGGCACTCTGTACTAATATGTCATCAACTCTGTGTGGCAGCTTCATCTTGTGCTTCTAATAGAGATGTCACTCTCTACGTGTCCACTCTTCACCAGGCTGTAGTCCATCATTACTCCCAGTCATGGGACTTCCACAGCTGGACTCAAACTCATTCATATCATCATCCAGTCATCCACTTGATCATGAAAACCTAATCAAAACATATAACCCCTATTTCAGTCCTTTAATGTTTACTTTTAGGCTATTTAAATGTTATAAATGTAATTTCATTTTGAAATTTATCATAAATTCCATCAATACTGCAAAATTCCATTCCCTCAAGGGACATGAGAGCTATGACTGCGATACTTCCCTTTCTTTAACATGGACCTTCAATGATTAAACTGGGTCCAACTGTATTTCAGGTATATCAAGGTGTGCCTGCATAATGTGTGAATTTAACCCAAAGTGATGTTGTTTTAGATGTGTACCACTCTGGTAAAACCCAAGGCAATATGTATACACTGGACAAACCAAGGATCATAGTTAGGGCTGTGCTATGACCCTGGTACTGCTTGAGGTATGGTGAGGTGAAATGGGGTTTAACGCAGTTTAACATCTTACTTAAGAATATTTCACTCATACGATGTATGTGTAGGGCTGCTTGTACTAGCCCAGACTTCGGCTGGTTTTATAGTGCTTGCTCACGGAGATATCATGCCGCAGTTACCGTAAGCATGAATACCTCACTCAGACACATTTTACTGACTCCGAGCTGACCAGTCCTTGTTGTACCCATTAATGTCGAGCGCCAGGCAGGGACCAACAAGCATCGTCTTTTCGTATGACGTGGCTGGGGATCGAACCTTCCGCTCTCCAGGTGGACTCTCAAACCACCATACCACCGAGGCAGCTCTTGAGGTTACAACTCATGGATGCAAAAACAGGCCCTGGTTGTCTTGGTCCCTACCAATGACATGACCTAAGAGCTCATTGTCCACTGCGTTCTCATTGCACAGGAAGTATGTATCATTCCAATGAACTTTCAGAGATATCTAATCAGAGTAATATTTTACACAAATATAGAGATGTGAATCTTCAACAATGTTACAATGTCCATAGGAGTTGGTTCAGACTTGGCCACTTGTCACTCCACACAAATCCAATTGCTGCCAACCCCCTCTACTTCTACAGAGATTGGGTCTAAAAGCTACTGCAAGAGAGGGTTAAGACCAAAATAGTGTGGAAATAACCAAATTTAAAAGGAAATTGACCTTTCTGCTGTTTATCCAAGACATCAATATCTGTACAAATTCGGAATCCTTCCCAGTGGTGAAAACTTTCAACAATATTGTCACTGTGCATTGTGTATCACTTAGACGTCCCTGCACTTTACATCCACTTTTAAACACAGCTGCACTTCAACAAATTCAAACACTTACCAGTTAAATATCACAGATTCTTCCACGGTGGTAGAAAGGGACCAGTAAAGGGTGTTGACAGTTAAAAGCCTGAGCTTGAAATTTGATTTAGAAATACAAATTTTGATTCTTTTTTCTTGTTTAATGCTCTTCATGTTTCTGGCTCAATCTTGTTTTCTTACCCCCTTAAACATTTTTCGATCTATTTCTGCTTAATTATTCCAGAAATATTCTGCTCAATCTAATATTGCCTCTTTCTCCCAATCAATCTTCTACTGCTTCTCATCATACTCACTCTTACTCTCCGTCTCTTGATTACTTGTTTGTCACCCCACTCTTGTCTCATACCCCCTCATACTGTCACAAGTAACTCACAACCCACCCTTGTTCCTGAAATCATCAACCATCTATCACCCACATCAACCGTTTCTCACCCACATCATCCATCATACAGCCACATCAACCATCATACAGCCACATCAACATTCTCTCAGCCTACTTCATAATGTTCTTCATCCAGTCATAATGTCTCACCCCACTCTTGTTCCTTACTGAATTTACTGTTCTATTCTCCCATCTAATTACCTACGGGTGGTGGGGTAACCTAGAGGTTAAAATGTTCACTCGTCACGCTGAAGACCTGGGTTTGATTCCCCACATGGGTACAGTGTGTGAAGCCCATTTCTGGTGTCCCCCGCCTTGATGTTGCTGGAATATTGCTAAAAGTGGCATAAATCTGAACTCATTCACTCACTCCAATTACCTCCCCTCTTAATTAATCGGTTGCGGGATCTAATCAAGTATCTCGATGATATGGTCAATCTTTGATAACTATACAGATTACAGTTACTATACACGTGTGTGCATGCTGTTATCTGCGGTTTCACGCCCCGCACCAAAAACTAACTTTCTACTTAAAGTCATTTTGTTTTCCAACCATGTACCTCATATCCAAACATGCACAGCCAGAATAATCTCATAAACTGTGCCCACATCAACTGTTAAGCTGTGCGGTGATAAACAGACCTTTGCCATGATCCTTTCAATCAATGGTATTATGGACAACCCACAGGACTTCAGCATTAAAGTTTACTTGAGTTCATTCTTTCTGCTGTGTTATTAGAGGAGCTGTCAAGCCTTGGTCAGTGACTTGGAGCTGTTGTTCCCTGTGATGGATAGTGCACCATTCAGCCCTCCTACAGGAGCTACCAGGACATGCCTCAGCCTGCACAGTGATTTATTACTTGATGAACTTTGATAATTGATTAACACCTTTGTGTTCTTTTCAAGGCAAATTGATGGATGAAAGGGTTTTACATCAATTACCTCTAGTAAGTTGATGAATTGGCTGTTTTAATGATTCCATGTGCTAAAATGTCAAGGTGTCTTCCAGAGAAACACTTGCATATCCATGGTGGAACAAAATGCATATTTTACTTGAAGAATGGTGTTGCTAACAGGCCGTGAATGGGACAGCCACTAGGGTTTTCATGTAGACTCAGCAATATGTGATGGCAGATAACAGCAAGACATTCACTCAAATTTTCAACCATAAAATATTACAATGTGGCTATAAGAAAGTAATTCAAATATTTAAGATAAACCAGTCAAGCTAGTCCAATCTATTTATCATTGCCAAAATATTGCTCTCCTTATTCTAAAGTAATGATGTCTTGAAAACATCAGGTTACATGTAGCTAAAATCAACATCTCTGTTCATCCTAATCTTATACCACCATGACACCAAAAGTTTAAAACAAGATCTGTTGAAACAGCTTATGGTGAAATAGATAGCAACATTTAAAATTTAATATATGGCTGCACTATTAAAACATCCCTTGGAATCTGTGTTTCAGTGTTGACATTAAGGGAACATGATACACAGCAGACACAACATCACCAAGAACAGCTTGGGATCTTGTCCACAAGGTCGAAAGTATACACTGCTGATGTCTCCAGAAGACTTGTCCAGGTGAGGTAAACACTGGATTACTGGTGTCTCCTGGAGGGTTCTTGTCCAGGTAAGACTACTAACAGGTATTTAATACACACACAGGTGGTGCCTTCTGGAAGGTTCAAACCCAGGTAGGTTAAACACTGGTTTTGAATTAAACACTAGCAAATTGGTGTATGCTGGAAGGCTTGAGTCCAGGTGGCCTTAGTGTATCCTGGAAGGATTCAAGCCCAAGTGGGCTAAACACTGGTTTATTGACATATCCTGGAGGGCTGGAGTCCTAGTGAATTAAATACTACCATATTGGTATATCCTGAAAGGCCTGGAGTCCAGGTGAGTTAAACACTAGCTTTGGGTGTCTCCTTGACCAACTGCCCTCACACTCATATCTAGCTTCATTTTGGTTCTCAAAAACATTTTCTTCAATAACATTATAAGGTCCATTAACGTGACAAGTATACCTAAATTGTTACCTGCAATGTTTAGTCTACTTTAACTTCACATCTAGAAACGACATCAACAGACAACATTATATGGAAGTACAGTGGAAGTTGTCTGAACCAGCACTCATTGGGACTGAAGAAATAATCCGGTTTAGTCAGTGTGCCGGATTGTAGAGCTTACACAGTTATCTCCGACTAGAAGTGAACTATTTTTTGTCACTCTCGTGTACTTATTGTATCACAATAAAACATGTGAACTCACTAGTTACATGTATAAGTATACTCATGCTGGACTAAGATTAAATTGTCTTTGTCGGCAGCCACGTTGTTTCACTGCATGATCAACTGGTGACAATACAGATCTGGCCGAGCAATCGCCATGTGCTGGATTAGACAGAGCTGATTACTGTATAAACACATATTCGGGCAGCTCATTTCATGCCGAGATCCGGGAACTGACAGGTGCCGGATTGCAGAGCTTTTAAATGATGATAAATGTACTAGCCACGGACGGCACTGAGATTTTATGCCGGTTTTGACAGCTTCCACTGTACACAGCTAAATATCACTGTTTGAACGTGAACAATTTAGTAAACTAAGATTCATTACATCCTGATTAAAGCATATCTGACAGTGCTACCAAGCAAAAACAGAGGTTTCCAAAGTTCTTGATCACATCAACTGTATCTGGCACTCTTATGCTCAAACACATGCAAAGTAATGATATTGTAAGGTTCATGAACACCATCACAGAGTAGATGCTAATGAATATATTTCAACCACACTGTTGCACAAACAGCAAGCATATAATCAGGCCATAACAACCAAATAAATATAGATATATTAGTTATGGCAAGAAATCTGGAAACAAGAAACGTTAGTATCCCTTTGGATTGACAAATGTATGTAAAAGATCCAACTGACTTTATTTTACATTCTAAATGGGTAGTTCAAACATCACACCAACAATACAGTCATTTTCTTCAGAAACCAAACTGGAGATAAGATACAGACATGAACAACTAATAAACAAACAGGGAATGACTCTTAGCTCACCTTGATTCTCCCTACAGCCTCCTGGGCCTGCATCATCCTCATGGCTTTTGATGGCTGGCCTTCTGAAACGAGCTGCGTGGAGCCCAGGTATCGAGCTCGGAACAAAACTCCCTCGATTAAGACTTCAGGATTATCCGGATCACGAACATGTACTGTCAACAAACATGCTCGTTACAATGGTATTTTCTCAATTCCTCTGATGTATTCTTTCAAAGACAATAATTAGTAACCAAACATCTGATCAAACTTTTCCCTTGGAACATCTTCAAGATTTTTTAAAAGCTTAAAAAACAAAACATTAAATGAATGCAAAAGCATGTTGGAGGAATGTGGAGAATGAATATATTTTTTCCATGTGTTTACCAATTGAATAGAAAACAAATTGCATTTGAAGTTATTAAATGTAGTTCTGTTTGCTCTACTCATGCAACATCGAGCAACATTCCCAAGAGACTGATTGAAACAGATATGATAAAAGCTGCTCGTCCTACAAACAGGATAGGGGGACAAAAATGGTTGGAAGATATTGAGAGAACATAGTACTAAGAAACCAAAACAAAAGCCCTTTACCACAAAAGGTACATAAGCTCACCTTCTCATGGAAACATAGTCTAGTTTTGTACACAAATAGAGTACACAATCTTAAAGTCAGCAGCAACCATTGTGAAATGAAAAGAAATAATTAAATCTTAACGCAAACAATGATATTACTGTTAACATCTGGCAATCTAATTCAATTTGTACTTTTTATTATTTGCCTTTCATTTGTCAAGAAAGCCATTTCTTTCTGTAGCATTCTGAAAATATGTGCAATACTATTAGAACAACAACTCTCAGACTGTGAAGGAAAACTTTTCTGTGTCAGTGATTTGTCAAATCCTGAAGTTTTGCTTTGATAATGAGCTCCATTTTGTTACCCAAGGGGAGGAATAGTCCTAAATGTCAACTTGGTCAAAGAATATTACATGACATTTACTTCCAAACTAACAATCAAAATAATGAAAACTCAAACCCCTTCAAATGTGATAGTTGACGTGTTTACTGTCGAATGTCAGTTTCAGCACACCCACAGAATATATAAGTATCCTAATTTCTCCTCCAAGACTGACTGACTGACTTTGGTTTTACGCCGCTTTTAGCAATATTCCAGCAACATCACGGCGGGGGACACCAGAAATGGGCTTCACACATTGTACCCATCTCCTCCAAGAAAGATTTCAAACACACTGAGGAAACGGCTGGACTTAACTTGTGAGAAAATAAAATCCTGGCTTTAAGGTTGTAAGAATCATAAATATCGAGTAAGTGATGATTTCAGCTATTTTCTTTCTTCCACAAAAAAGAACCCGAAAATGAAGTAATGTAATTTTTGTATTGATTCCAAATGGAAATTCTTCCACGAGATATTGAATGAGAGACAGGATTTCTATTTCTGAAATTTTCCTTTTTCAAAATCCATAATGGAGATAAAATCAATATGACTTAACCCCTGTGCTGATATCACAGTAGACAAATCAAACCTTGTCAAACATACAAGCAATATCTTGTAGACATTTCAATTATCATTCTCATAAAGATATTGACCAGATCTGTAACATGATTGCACTTACTCAACATGAGAGATGTACGTTTAGTTTTTACATTCATCAGCCATGTTCTCCCATGTATTCAATGGTGTGACAAGAACAAATCTCTTCAGTATGGTGCTCGGTTCAATACTTTCAGAACATTTTGCCCATGAGAAGGAAATCTTAAAGCTACAGGCCCAGCCCATCCCGTCAAGACACAGGATGTATCCAAAGAATGAATATGAACAAAAACCTGTTGTTCACAAACTGTGCCTTAAAAATAGTTGATCACTGCTGAACATTAGAGGGCTCTGGATCCAAAAATATTGACCCTGCAAAGCAGAGATTAGAGATCCAAGTGCATTTAAACATTTGTTCACATGGGTAGATTCACCGCATGAAGCTATTTACATAAGGTAAATGACCGATATGTTTGCATGTGTATCTGTGTTAGGGGGTACTTGTGACAAGGGGAACAGTTGCTTCACATCAGCAGCGGAAGTCTGGATCAATCACTTGATCCAACATGCTGTGATTTCATGGATTCATTGACGTCCCTGTGGGTCTCTGCCATGAATATGACTTGCCACTAAAAAGATCATAGCTTGATATGCCGTTGTATGAGCGAGGTTATAGATTTCATCAGTCTGTTCCAACCAAACTGCATTGTGGAAGAAAGTAACCGAAGTGGTTCCAATTTAGTCTGATAATAAATACCTGAACAGTACCCACAGTTAAGACACCTCATATGTTCACACTTCATCACCTTAACTAATGGAACTTTTACTTGTGGAAAGTCATAGAGCACTGACGATGGTCAGTGAGCTGAAGTCACATGACAGCCCATGTTCTCGATATCAGATGAGCTGAAATACAGTTTAACGTTGTACTTGAGAATATTTTGCTCATATGACAACGTGCATGCGTGTGTTTGTGTGGCTGCTTGTACTAGCCCAGATTATGCTGGTTTTATAGAGCTAGCTCACTGATATACCATGCCGCAGTCAGACACATTATACTGACTCCGAGCCGACCAGTCCTTGTTTAACCCATTAATGCCAAGCATCATGCAGCTAACAACAAGTACCATATGTTAATGTCTTTTGGTATGACGCGGTCGGGGATCGAACCCGCGACCTTCCGCTGTCCGGGCAAACGGTCTAACCACTACACCACGGAGGTGATCTCTCGATATCATTGGAAGTTCACTAGGTGTTGCCATGCACATCAGGCCTCCTTGCACAGGTGGGCACCTTGACTATCAAAACTTAGTCAGGCATCCTCCCTGTAGATATGACACTTGGCCAATGTTGGTAAGACGTCATTCTCACACACAACAGAGTAGACAACACTATCATCATCCCTGTAGATATGACACTTGGCCAATGTTGGTAAGACGTCATTCTCACACACACCAGTGTAGACAACACTGTCATCATCCCTGTAGATATGACACTTGGTCAATGTTGGTAAGACGTCATTCTCACATACAACAGAGTAGACAACACTGTCATCATCCCTGTAGATATGACACTTGGTCAATGTTGGTAAGATGTCATTCCCACACACAACAGAGTAGACAACACCGTCATCATCCCTGTAGATATGACACTTGGTCAAGGTTGGTAAGATGTCATTCTCACACACAACAGAGTAGACAACACCGTCATCATCCCTGTAGATATGACACTTGGCCAATGTTGGTAAGATGTCATTCTCACACACAACAGAGTAGACAACACTGTCATCATCCCTGTAGATATGACACTTGGCCAATGTTGGTAAGATGTCATTCTCACACACAACAGAGTAGACAACACCATCATCATCCCTGTAGATATGACACTTGGTCAATGTTGGTAAGATGTCATTCTCACACACAACAGAGTAGACAACACTGTCATCATCCCTGTAGATATGACACTTGGTCAATGTTGGTAAGATGTCATTCTCACACACAACAGAGTAGACAACACTGTCATCATCCCTGTAGATATGACACTTGGCCAATGTTGGTAAGATGTCATTCTCACACACAACAGAGTAGACAACACCATCATCATCCCTGTAGATATGACACTTGGTCAATGTTGGTAAGACGTCATTCTCACACACAACAGAGTAGACAACACTGTCATCATCCCTGTAGATATGACACTTGGTCAATGTTGGTAAGACGTCATTCTCACACACAACAGAGTAGACAACACTGTCATCATCCCTGTCACTGGTGGAAAAGAAACATATCCTCAGATTAGTCTCAGTCTCATGCTGGTCCTCAACACTGGCATACCATCAATGACATGCTGTAACCGCCTCTACTGTGGAGAGTTCTATACTGGTTGAAGAAGGTGTTTGCCAGAGGTGCTCAATTAACCTTGTTTCATGAGAATATAGCAGGAATCAGAAAGTCAGAATGGACAGCAGGTCCCGTGGGTGTTCCCTTCTTTACCTGCTTCCACAGCCAGAAGAATCGTCATATTACCTATATTTGTTAATCATGTGAATGAAGCAGACACAGATGTGACCAATGTGATACACAATATTGGGGATGGATTTGTGGTGGATGCTGTTCACTATGAACTGATGGGGAATTTGGAGTCAGAACATGCTGATATTTACATTCATTTGTTTGTTTATACATGCTGAAGAGAACATAGCAAACTGCACACCTTTCATATAATATTACTTTGTGACTATCAATTTCACTGCGAGTCTTAGAACTGAAGTTCAATTAATTAAGCATACCCATTCACAAAACCTTATGTTAATCCAATCCTTCAACCTGATGTGCTTGTCTATTGTGTTCAGCATGTCGATGAATGTGACAGAGTGACAGTAGTTTCTAATGGTAGATCAGCTGCAGATAAGCATGACATGACTCACCTGACTAAGAGTGTGCATGAGTGAGTGACGAGGGAATGAAATCTGTGGTATCATTCCCAGCCATTCACACAGTGTGCGAGTCAGTGAATGAGTGAGTGAGTGAGTGAGTGAGTGAGTGAGTGAGTGAGTGAGTGAGCATGGCTGTATTCCTGCTATATCGGGGGGCCTTCATACTAGGGAATAGAACCCAGTCCTGTGGTGCCAGTTCATTAACCACAAGGCTCCTTCCTCTACAGTCACATCTACAGTAGTCCACACACGGTCTAGGTACTCATCTGTGTCATGTGATGTACAACTACAAGCAATATTACTACTCCACATGATTATAGACCATCACCATTAACGATTGATACACAATGACCATCTTCCAGGTAACATTCTGTCCAGGTGGTCACCAATCCAAGTGTTATTCATATATAGCAGTCATTGTGATCAACAAATCTCCAAATAGTGCATTTTATGACAACCATGGGAATTGTGAATTTACTCTGCTCAGGAACCCATCGTCTTGCAAACATTCATGACACACTGAGGAGGCAATGAGAAACAAAACGACAAAGACTAACCCACACACCTGAAATAAAGGATTCCCGACAACCCAAAAAATGCAACATAATTTCCTCCGCAGAAGAACACAAATAACATCTCTCATGATTTAAAGGGAAAATGAGGTGAACTGAAGCAAAAGCAAAATGTTT